CCTTATTAATTGGCTAGCTTGTTTTAAAATGGTGGCATCCTTTAACTTTCAACAAAACGCACTTTAATTGGATTAAGGAATATATCTTCATGTAACAGGTGTACAAACACATAAACCTATAAACACTGAGTGAATGATAAAGTTGCATTGTCCCTCAGCCTAGGTGACCTACTTTCCTACACATCAAAACATCACATATATCATTTTTAATTGTGCCAAAAAGTGATCAATGTAAGACAAAGACCTAGTTGAGGCCTATACAGGCCTAAAGTTAACTTGAGTTTGTTCATAGTGCTTCCAGGCTATTCCACAAAAATATACTATTTTTCTAATAAAAATATACTTTTTAGAATCACTGAAACACATTTGTGCTTTGTGTAGAGTAGTTTTGCTCACCAAGATGCTTATGAACTGCCATCATAATATGGTAAACAGGCCATAAACTTGTAAAATGCTTGTAATCCAGTGTTTTAAGACAGGATTTAACTTTGTAAGGGGTTTAAAAGTTCCGTTATAGTGTGTGTGTGTGTTTCACCTGATTTCTTAGTTTTTTGGAAATTTACCACTGGACACTTAGATTTAAAATATATAAATTGCACTCAAAGATTATTTGCAGCAAAATAAACACTGCAATACTGAATATAACAAGAAAGTGTTTTTTGTTTTTTTTTTACAATAGAAATGTCTAAATAAAAACGGCACTTTTTCAATTCCCTGATATTTCCAGGATATTTCCTGGATTCAGAGTAGAATGGCATTTGCAACAGAAATGTACCTGCTGTCAAGTTTACATATAACACATTAACTGATGTGTTAACTACAAAAATACGCTTTTAAACCCAAAACGAATGGATTCACAAATTAGCTTTGACTCTAGTTCCAGGCTACAATGCGTCTTGCTAATTAAGGATGGGTTTTATTTAAGTGCTTTACTTTTTATCCAATCAGAGTCCACTACGTATGTGTTGACGCGCACAAATGGAACCGCCCCCGCGTGTCTAACGCATTGACTTCTTTCTTCCGTTCCGCGTGTTCTCAATCAGTACGGCCATTGTAAGAAAATGACTAACCAGCTTTGCAAACTGTTTGTTGGCGGCCTGAACGTCCAAACAACCGACGAAGGCTTGCGGGCACATTTTGAACAATATGGACAGCTGACCGACTGCGTGGTGGTGATGAACCAGCCGCTGCAGCGCTCCCGGTGCTTCGGCTTTGTAACGTACTCGAGCGTTGAGGAAGCGGACGCCGCCATGGCAGCTAGGCCTCATGTCGTTGACGGCAACAACGTGGATCTGAAGCGGGCGGTGGCCCGGGAAGACGCCGGTAGACCGGAGGCACTAGCCAAGGTCAAGAAAATATTTGTAGGGGGACTGAAAGACGACATCGAGGACGAACACCTCCAAGAGTATTTCTCCCAGTTCGGTGTCATCGAGAAAGCTCAGGCCATCACCGACAAAGACACCGGGAAAAAGCGAGGTTTCGGTTTTGTTTACTTCGAAGACAACGACTCTGCCGATAAAGCCGTCGTCATGAAGTTCCACATGATCAGTGGACACAAGGTGGAGGTGAAGAAGGCTCTCACCAAACAAGAGATGCAAACTGCCGGTGGTCGCGGCGGCAGGGGAGGCCGAGGAATGGGCCGGGGAAGCGGTTATGGCGGCGGAAGAGGCGGTTACTATAGCGACTACAGCTATCAGAACGGCGGCTACGGTAACGATGCTGGCAACTACGAAAGCCAAAGTAGCTACGGAGGAGGCTATAGCGACCAGACGGGCGGTGGATACGGCAACGGGAATGGCTACAGCGACTTCGGCGAGGGTTATGGACAGCAGTCTTCAGGTTACGGCGCTATGAAAGCAGGCTACTATTCCGGCAGGAGCAGTGGGCCTTATCCACGCGGAGGAGGCGGCGGTGGTGGTGGTGGATATGGAAGAGGTGGCTATGGTGGATATTAGAAGCACTAATGTGACTCTTTAAGCTGTACTTCGCTTTTTTTACGCATACTATTTGGACACTGGACTTTCAAAACGAATTATTTGGTATTGGGTTTAAATGAGAATTGTTCTGTGCTATTACCAGTACAAGCAGACACGCGTTGCGTGTTTCTTTGTTTAGGTTGAAGTAGTCACGTTTACGCAAGTCAAGCCTGGTAAACACCATGTAGGCTTCTGTATGTTCTGTTTTAGGTTTATTGCCTGTACATCGTTTGAGATGAAACTCAGGGGTAATGAAATTTAAGCAGCTCATTGTTTCACTTCATGACCTTCTTTGTTTTTAAATGTAACTTAATTTCTGTTTTAATGGTCGTACACCGTTCCTATTATAAAACTGTATTAAGTATGTTTAATTCGATCCAACAGTGGCCATATAAGCCTTTTAACCATTAAAAAAAATCTTTTTCATAAACCTTTTCTGTCTGGTCCTTTTTGTCTCCAATTCTCGATGCCAACCATTGTTTCAAATGTGTCTTTTGCTCTTTTCATAATGCTTTCAGGTTTTGATGTCTTTAAGCTCTTGGGAAAACATTTCCTCAAGTATTGTGGGTACTATGTAATGAGCCATTTGATGCATTTAATCAGAAATATGCAATGTGTAGGCTCATCGAGGAGTTCTTAAATGTGTTACGATTTGCACAAAATATATATATATTTTAATGTAAACCGACTATTCTGAAATCACCAAATCAGTGTAATAGAACAGTGGTTTTCACATTTTGGATGTGTTCTTTATCTAACACACTCAGCTGAGTTCATGGAGCTCTCATTTAATGAGCTGGTGATCTCTGGTATGTCTGTTAAGGGAGCCATACAAAATATGCAGAGCGGTGGGTCCCCAGGACCAGGATCGAAAACCACTGTATTAGAGTGATTTCTGCAGGATTATGTGACTCAGAAAACTGGAGTAATGGATGCTGGCGTTGCATCCTTGCTTTGAATAAAACATTTTAAAATCTATATTAGAAAAGTTATTTTAAGCTGAATTCTTTCATGTTATTGTTTAACTTGCAGCCATGTTGCGTATGAGACTTAATTCAAAAACATTAAGTCTTACTAATCCGAAACTTTTGGTTGGTAGTGTAGACAATTTTTAAAAGTAACATGACAAGCACACAGAAAATAAGAAAAGATCAATTAACCACACAAAGACACAAATTTGTTTTGTAAATGTATTCAGGGTCTATGCCCAAGTGCTGAACTGTGTATATCCACAATTTTATTTTACATATATTGAGTAAGCCCTACTTGCCCTCTACTACTGAAAGCAACTCTCTGAATCCAACCTTCCAAAAATGTAAAGGTAAAGCAACAGTGTTTGACTATAAACATATTTAATTTCACTTTTAGCTTCAAGCCTTCATCTGACCCTGTTCCAATCAAACAATAATGCCCGTCAAAAATCGGAGCGATGGGGTACAACAATGCAATGTACAAGAGACACAGCCAGATGAACGGTAGTAATGTGTCTTTCTTAATCACTGGCGATAATACATGACCCCAGAGATATAACAAACCAAATATATGCTTCTTGTCATTACAAAATACTAATGGTGGGAGAATAGTCAAAGAAAATTTATTTTTTATTGTTTAGATTGGAACAAAGCTTCATCTTGGAATATGAACACTTGATTAGGGCAGTGTTACTAGCTCTTCTGAGGACGTCGGGTGGATGGCAATGGTTCTGTCAAAGTCTTCTTTAGTAGCTCCCATGTTAACGGCCACAGCAAAACCCTGAAGCATCTCATCACAGCCAAAACCCTGCATATGGAGACCAACCACCTAAAAAGAAAAGTGACTTATAATGACTTAATGTAATGCCAAAATGTTAAAATAAAATTATATATTATTCAAGATCCTTCTTGATATTTTCAACCTATTTATGATCGATGGACTGATTATGACCTCACCTTTTCATTTTTGCCAGCACACACCAACTTCATAATGCACTGACTCTTTCGAGTGGTGATGGCATAATACATGGGGGTGAAAGAAGTGGTATAAACCTTCACATTGTCCTTTCCCCAGGTCTTGATTGCTTCATCTACAAAACATGATATGTTTTTATATATATATTTTGTAAGGGTAGTTCAACCCATTAGTTAAGATGTCAGTCAGTCAGTATATTGAACACACATTAGGACATGCTACATGCAGACTTAGGGCCAGATTTACTAAACAAGGCAAAGTAGTGTCCACAATCCAATAAAAGCACTGATGGAAGTGTTAAGTTTTGCTAGTGATCTACTGACAATACAGGAATTAAAGAACACAGATGCAGCAGGATCATTTCCATAATGACCAATGCAATCTACCAAGAGCAGCACAAATTAGCACAGTTGAAAAGAAGCAGAGCTGATGATAATCAGGTGTGTGGAATCTACTAACAACACAGGTTCAAAATGGGTTACGATATGTTTTTTTGAGGTGTTAAATAATGGCACAAATATGAGTACATTGACCATTGCAAACCTTAGTCAATCTCCGTGATTCATTTAAAGGGGTCCTATTATGCTTTTTTCACTTTTTCAACTTTAGTTAGTCTGTAATGTTCCTGTTTGAACATAAAAAAGATCTGCAAAGTTACAAAGTTTAAAGTCCAGTAGTCCACTTCAAAAGGAGATATTTTATTTAACAGAATTAGCATGAGAGCTTGTTCTAGTACACCCCAAAACAAAATCAAGACTTTGTAAAAGAGCCCTTTAAATACTCTCTTCCAATAAATATGCGTCTGAAAGGGAAACTCCTACAAATGCATATGCAATAAGGTCAGATGCAAAAACAACTTAACTGTTTTAAGTAAAACCTTACAGTAGTTTTTTAAAGCCAAACAAGGGTTTGTAAATCTGGCCCTTATTGCTTTAACATAAGAACTTATTATTTTTAGTATCAGTATTATTTTATCATCAAAAGGGTATCTAGGATATTTTTTTATCTAAAATGTTTTTGTCTGCAACTCCATGTGTCAATATATTATATGGAAAATAAAGTAAATATGAGGAAGAGTGTGAGAGATCTAGAGCGAATAGATAGAAAGATAGATAGATGTGGACCTGTTGTAGTAAATGTTCAGTACAGAGAAAACAAAACAGAAAAACTTAAAATGAAAATTAGAAATGTTTCCTTGGCAACTAACTTAAATAATGTTGATGTTGAAGTAATAAATTACTAAAACTAAAGCAGAAAAAATCAATATAGAAAACAATAAAAACTTAAAAGATAGATATAAAAATAGTAAAAAATTAAAGCAATAAAAAAACAATAAAAATTACTAAAACTAAAAGATTAATACATGTTATAATGGTATATAAAAGAATGCTAAAATAATAATGCTACATATGGTGTCTGATCTTCAAGATACGGTAAGGAAGCATTATTTGTACATAAGCTCACCTTCAGTTAGTCCCACTGTGCCAATAGGTGGGTGGCTGAACACAACAGTAGGGATATTATTATAATTGATTTTGGAGTCTGCTTTGCCCTCAAACAGCCGGTGAGCAAGCTTTCTGCCAGCAGCAATAGCAACTGTCCATACAAACAAAAACAGGAAGCAACAACAGCTTATCAGAAAAAAAAACTGAATATACATTCCCATCAAATAGATGATAAACTATTTAATTTTAAAAAGTGTGATAAAAGGTAAGCATGTCCAATCTACTCTGACCAGTTGATGTCGCTAGAGTAACAAAAAATGCACAAAATCAACTTCCTCATGTATGGAGGATCTGTTGTTTTAAACACAATGTGAAAGGTGTTATTTACATAAACCAACTGAATCATAGGAAGACTGAATTGCACAACGTGCATCATGATCTTTTAAGCTTAATTAATTGTTTTAAGACTTTACATCTCTTACTTAATTGGTTTCTGAGTGTTATTAATGAATACCATGCCGGATCAGAGTACAGTGTATAAAAATGAGCTATTTTATGTATTAAAACAAAACACCCAGAAGATTTCAATGCATGTAGGAACAAATTCTCCATAGGATGTGATCCTGAAACCATACCAGGTGTAAGAAGAGCTCTCCCACAAACATCCCCAACTGCATAGACACCTGCACGAGTGGTGTTCTGGAACTCATCCACCACGATATACCCCTTTTCATCAAGCTTCACACCCTGAATAACAATACATCCAACTGTTAGTCTTACTTTATCACCAACTGATACAGTGCAAAGATAACGCTTACAATACTATACTACTTGTGTAGCTTCTGCAGTTTAAAATAATGTTCTGTGTTCAGTTGTACTTTATCAACAGCATCTGTGGCATGTTTCACTGATGCCTCAGTTTGTAAAAAGCAAAAATGGTGCGTACACTATGTGACACTGACAAAGCATTCCAGAGGGCAATTTTTAAAGTTGTGTATGTCTCTACCGTTCTAGCTGCATGAACTGCTAGTTAAGCATTAGCAAAATAATTCTTGTCCGCAGAAATTTGCACAGGCAAGATTTTAGCACACTAGTCTCATTGTAACGTATATCATAGCTGAAGTTGCAAATTAACTGAACTAGCAACAGATCTATTCTTCCATATTGTAACGTACATCAGAGTAAAATGGATTATTGATAAAAGAAAAAATTGTAGGGCAGGGACTTGGTTCTATCAGTCTGTCATTGATTGGATTAAGGCAGAACTGAATGAGAGCTTGATTGCAAGACATGGACAGAGTTTAAACTAACTAAATGATTGGAGAAGTTCAGCATACATCACCACAAGTCTGACCATTCACTGGAAGATCGATTTTATGACATTTTGATTAAAAATTGTGAGGCCCAAATTTATATATTTATATGTACAGTACATATAAAATGATATATGTTTTACATGTAATATATGCTGTTCCATCCCCTATAAGCTTTAATTGTAAGTGCACTACTGTAAAAAATAGTTTTTCTAGCTTGTAAAAAGTGAGGAATTTTCATTCTTTGGGAATTAACATCATGCCACAGATGTTATCGATAGAGTTTAATTTATAATCCTGTAACAAACCTTTAAGCTTCTTAGGTATTTATTATAATTACTAATAATATTCTAATACTAATAATTATAATAAAAATAATTCAGTTTTACTATTGAACTGAGATCGAGGCCAGAGGTGTTGGGTTCCCTGCCAATAGCCCAGAGCAGACAGTCCGCCTCATGGATGGTGTCGTACTTCTCCTGTGCATCTTTGTCGTCAGGGTCTTTTGTCACCAGCGTAACAGAAAGGCCTTTGTCAGTCTTCTGCACTGACCTCACCTGTGAACAATATCAGAATATTTAGATATACTGATGTAAGATATATTTTGGGGGGATCGTAACTGAAAATCTGCCAAACAAACCGATACATCACACTGGAACGATAGACCAGCTACATAATACCTTTCTTAATAATACTCACTACTAGTTACCTGAGTATTTTTCCGTAAGTCAATACCATGATTTTGCAATTCTTTCGTGCAATTTGAGCTTATCAAGGCATCGAAGTTCCTCAGAACCTTGAAAAGAAAGAACACAGTCATTGCTTACTTTGGGATATGCATGACAGTAGCATTTAGCCAGGTGACAATAAGCGGGGCTCTTACCCCTCCTTGTCGTATGATCATGGACGTTTTGGACCCCAGAGTGGAAAGGATACCAGCCATCTCCACAGCAATATATCCTGCCCCAACTATCACACTACGTCTAGATGGATACAGTGATCGGTTATTTTAGGATAAGGAGAAAATACAATAATATAAGTAGAAATCAGCAATCAATCACTTACTTAGGGCAAAACTCAAGTTCAAAGAATCCATCACTGGTAATGCCTAAACTGGCTCCTGCAATAACATTGAAATTAACAAAATGCTGTCAAAAAAGTGATGAAAATAAGTACAAAAAAATCACATTAATGGCAAGTGCACATAATAAGGATGCATTGATAAGTAAAGCAGAATAAGGTACATTTTTAATGAACAAACATAAGATCACCTGGAACATCATTCTCACTGACAGTGGACGGGTGGCCACCAGTGGCGATTAAGATATGAGGAGCTGTGTATTTTTTCCCATTAACTTCAACAGTAGGTTCAGGATCATCTGTGAACCTTGCATAGCCATGAATGGACTCAATTTTGGCCTGTGTACAACCACAAACAACTTCTTAATCTGCACATCAATACCAATTCTAAAGGTTTAAAGAGGTCATATCATGCATTTTCATTATGCTACTTAAAGGGATAGTTGACCCAAAAATGAAAATTCTGTCATTAATTGCTCACCCTCATGTCGTTCCAAAGCCGTAAGACCTTCGTTCATCTTTGGAACACAAATTAGGATATTTTTGTTGAAATCCGAGAGCTTTCTGACCCTGCATAGACAGCAACACAACTGAAACGTTTTATGGCCCAGAAAGGTAGTAAGGACATCGTTAAAATAGTCCATGTGACATCAGTGGTTCAACCAATATTATGAAGCTATGAGAATACTTTTTGTGCGCAAAGAAAACAAAAATAGCGACTTTATTCAGCGATTTCTTCTCTTCCGGGTCAGTCTCTGCCTCTATTCATCATAGTACCAAAACAGTATTGTTTACTGATGTCACATGGACTATTTTAACGATGTCCTTACTACCTTTCTGGGCCATAAAACGTTTCAGTTGTGTTGCTGTCTATGCAGGGTCAGAAAGCTCTCAGATTTCATTAAAAATATCTTAATTTGAAGGTCTTACGGGTTTGGAACGACATTAGGGTGAGTAATTAATGACAGAATTTTCATTTTTGGGTGAACTATCCCTTTAATTTCTCCCTCGAGATACACATAGTATATAGTCAGTTAGCAATATGCTTCAGGGGCAAAATTTTCCACCCTGTCTCTGACAATTAAATATGATTTTTTTTTTGACATGCTTTTAATATTTCTATGTAAAACTTTCATAGTACAATGTAGTACTAGTGCTGTAAAGATAAAGAAAATTAGATTCTTCATGATATGACCACTTAAAACCACGCTCCATGCATTTTGGTTTAAAAAAAAAATCTAAGATTTTTTTTTTTTTGTATTTACTACAAATTACTTTTCACTTCCTATTTAATTTGCTGATTTAAATGTAGCTTATTGCAGCCTACCTTGTCAAGGTTGTTCCGGTAAATCTGATTCAGGCGACTAACGTAAGCATCCCTTTTAGGTTTAATGAGCCTGAAAATACACATACCCAAAGAGTGACCTTTATTCTATTAATTCAGCTTTGTCATATCACAGAAATCCTGATAGCTGAACTCTCTACAGCATAACTCACCTACTACTAAAACAAACTACTCCACCTCATGCCTTTGTGTCTGACAGAAATATCCACTTAAAGCTGTACTGATATTATATACCACAAAAGGGAAGCAAAATAAATACTGAAAGCTGTAATGAATCAGAGCGTGCGGGAACTTGACTATCCTCAACTGTCACAAGAGCAAAAAATACCTTTTTTGTGAAACGAATTACCACATCTTCTTGCAGAAACAATATCCTCTATGGCAAGCTCTCATTACATGTATCCCTTAAAAACCATTATCTTTACTGATGTTACTAGTACTTATTTTTAAATACTATGAACTAATTACTAGTAAAAACAGAATAGGTACTTATTTTTAATTACTATTAACTAATTACTAGTAGAATAGGTACTTGAAATAAGTAACATAGAAAAGGTATTTAAAATGCATACTAGTTAGAAGTGAATAGTTGATATGTGAACTGCAAATTCCCATAGAATTCAATGGCAAATACTGTTCCAGTAATAACAGAATGTTTACTGGTATATTATAAACATAATTTGAAATTAAAACCAGCTAAATCACCAAATGTGGGTGAAAACCCACCGTGACAGGTAACACATATCAATTCTCTAGCCAATTTGGCTGGTTATGATTCATAAATTATGTCCTCCAACAATAACACAACAAAGCATTTGTTTTTTGTTGCTTGAATAGAATCTATGCGTAATATATGTTATATATTAAGCTTAGACTTCTCGTTGTGGGTGTGAATGGAGCCTTAGGAACAGCTCATCACTTCATGAATTGGCAGCCAGCCCACTAATCTTCAACGTGTTAATCAGTAAACTATTATGATTTTGACGTGAGCTAAATTTGGAAATAAAGAAATGCTGTTTTTTAAGAGAATTGGGGAGAATTATATTTTTTTATTTCTATTTTATTTTTTATGGAATTAATAAAAGTGATTGACTGTAGTAAAACTGAAAACCTATTAATGATTTAGAAATCATATTTAATAATAATTTAAATGTAAATCTAAGCAGTGATTTTGATCTGGTTTATTACTGATATTTAATGATATTTTTGGTTTGGCTAATAGTTCTAAATGGCTGATAACTTTGTAAGATTATTGATGCCATTTGGCTGGATCAGAAGAAGGTCACAGTCTGAAAAAACAAGGAACTCTCACGAGAATCAACACCTGAACTCTGTCTCGCAAGCCTAAAGCAATACACCCAACTGAGAGAAACAAAAGCTCCACACCTCCACTCTTCCCCTCTCTCCCCTCATTTCCATCTGAACACAGGACACTGCAGAGATCACCAAAACCACCTTTCTTAATCAGAGTTTATTACAATGCAACAATTCATGTTTGAAGTCGTTTGAAAGGTCTCTGTATGTCTGGTAAAGGGGTCTCATTCTCTTAACAATAGAACAGGTAGCCATAAATATTGAAAGTAGACTACTCCCAGGTCTTTCACACAAATTACCTTCTGTATGATCTATGGGGTTCTTCTTGATATTTAAGAGAGCGTGACAAAAAGCTCGGGGAATCTGTAGTCAGATCTCCCACACATCTACTGTGTGTAGTCCTCATTATCAGGTAACACTCATACATTCTCTCATTTCGGTATTATTGACTGTTTTGTATGATTGATTAATTGTTTTCTATTGTTTGATTGGACTTTGAATTATTATTTTGATTACCTGATTAATAAATTGTTATGTTTGAATTCATTCTGATTACTTTGAAGTTATTTTCTCAACTGCAAAACTGCGTCTAGGGTTATGTGCATAGCTGACTAACCGCTTGACCTTAGTTTTAAGTTGTACTCAGCTACGTTAACCATGTATATGATTTCAGAATTAATTAAGTTGTACGAAGTTAGATTAGCTGTCGGGGTCTAGACAAAGGGGGTCTAGAAGAACCGCTGATTAATACTTTGAGTGTTAATTAAGTTGTACGAAGCTATCAGCTGTCGGGGTCTAGACAAAGGTGGTCTAGAAGAACCGCTGATTAATGTCGGAATATTATATGGTTAACCATGTATATGATTTCAGAATTAATTAAGTTGTACGAAGCTAGATTAGCTGTCGGGGTCTAGACAAAGGGGGTCTAGAAGAACCGCTGATTAATACTTTGAGTATTAATTAAGTTGTACGAAGCTATCAGCTGTCGGGGTCTAGACAAAGGTGGTCTAGAAGAACCGCTGATTAATGTCGGAATATTACATGGGTAGCTGTAGGGGGCTAAACATTAGCCACAAACCTCTGAATAAGGATTAGAATGGCGAGTTTTGTGATCGTGGAGCCCACGCATAGCGGCCGCCGTGAGGCATCCTAAATAACATAGATTCCCAATGAACGAGTAAATATCAAAGTCACGAGTAAAACAGAATGATCAAACACTCACCTAAATTTAATGAGTAACAAACAACTCTCATAACCCTTTTCATTTTTGGAGTCAGATGAATAAAAGAGGTAAAGCATAGGAAAATGTATTTAATTTAACATTGTTGTGATGCATAAAAGGAAAGACAACAACCCGCAAGAATCCTTCTACCGGATCACTGGCTACCGTCGTTGGACCAGTGGGCGGATCTTACAACTTTTTTAGCAGCCAAATTGACTGGTGAGTGATAAAGTTAATTTCAAACCGTTATTGACAAGTACTAGGCCACGTTCACGCAGCAGCAGAATACGGTTGTCAGTCCTGTTTTTGAGTCCTTAATATGGTTACGTTTACACACAGTTTGGTTATTTATGGGCGTGACAACCGCATTCTGTAACTAAACTCCCACCCGTACATTTTCAGGATTCACAACCGCATTCTCGGAACACACGCGCTGTGTGAACGGAACAGGACTGGACAACTAGTTGTCTGTCATGTCATACAGAGTGAGAGAGAGCCGCTCTGCCGCACAAACGTGTGTCTAACGTATGTTACATGTCTTCACGTGCATTTTCGGTAATTTTCATCTGAATGTTTTAGAGCCCGTCAGTTTTCCACCAGAGCCGCTCCCATCAGTTTTGTGTTCTGCGCGTGATTCAAATGCTCTGCTCTCCACCCAAATTTAAAAGCTGCTGTTGGTTAATGAAGATTTGACAAAAGAACTCGCAGCTCGATTGGACTCTTGTCATGTCAGAAAGTGATAAGACTTTCAGTTTTATGGACGTCGCCATCTTTGAATTTACTTTGGTCACTGTCACTATGGTTACTGGTAAGGAATACGGGCTTGACTCCCATTGCACGTTCATACAGACAGTATTCTAAACACAACTGTAAGCTGCTGTGTGAACGGGACATTTCAAAACTCACACCTGTAAAGAAAATGCGGTTGTCAATCCCAAAAACTGACAGTGTGAACGTAGCCCTAGTTACTGTCAGAATCAATACTAGTATCTAATGAACCAACACCAGCAATAGCAGAGATATTGAACAAATATACTAGTCACTATTAAATTATATAGTAATTGTAGTAGTTATACAAGTAAATATAATAGTAAGTAAACAACAGACACTAGTAACACAAAAATAAATGTTATCAATGCTATTTTTTCAATTTTAGAATATTTAATGTTGCAATGGCTTGCCATAACCCTATACACTCAACATATACACAAAAATCAAACCAAACAACCCAGAAGAATCTTACTTACTGCCAGTTGAAATGTGCTTTTGCTCCCTCAAACCCATAATCTTCATGATAATGGAGATACTCTGCATGGGTGGATGTGTTCCACATTACCTGGAAGCATGCAGAAATGACACAACTTTATGAGCGTTTTTATTTGACAGCACTAGTACTCACATTATGCACCTAATCAATTTAGTGTAAGGATAAAGGGAAAAACAAATACCTTTTTAGGAACACAACCAACATTCACCTGTAGAAGAAAGAGAAGTTGTTTAATGAACCAAGTCAATAATATCACCAGACAAACATGCATAGGTGCTGGTGCAAACCATTACACACAAAAACACCCCACAAAAAGCGCTGGATCTGGAGGCTTCCCAAAGCACCTCTGTTCATGTGACTAATGCAGCGACCAATTACTGTAAATAACTCGTCTAAAGAACACATCTACGTGGCTCTAGGGGAAATGTGGTGTTGCAGGAGCAGGACGGCCTTTACTCACGCAGGTACCTCCGAGTTTGTGACTTTCGATCACGGCTGCAGTGGCACCGAGTTCAGCCGCCCGCCGCGCACCGGCCAGCCCTCCGGATCCTCCGCCAATCACCAGAAAATCAAAGCGCGTAACGGATTCAGAGGCCATGCTGCGACCGAAGAGTCTACGAGAAGATGACAGCGAACGTCCAAGAGTAAGAAAAGACGCTCGCAGTCGAGCCAGAGGGATTAATATCTCCATAAGCAGGAAGCCTACACCCCGGCCAACGCAGTAGTTGAACTAATGGGAGGGACGTGAAAGCCTGTGCTTAGTCATTGTGAATTGACACAATAGTGTGTAAATCCCAGAAGCAAATTTGGACAATAGTCATCATAGTTACCCATGCTTATTAAAGTCCTTCACTGTCAATCCCATCCCCAATATCCAGGGTGCTGAACTTACTTTGAACTCACTTGGCGCCTAGTCATGTTGAAACAGACAACGGTCTGCTTTATTTGATAATGGGCAATATTTCGTAAAAAAAAACAATTCACTGAACACAAACTCACCGATGAAGTGCAGCCGATACATATATACCTGTGGCGGAAATCCTTTTGCAGTACATTGTAAACATGTAACAAATGAAGTGTGGTTAATTAGAGGTGCTGGGCTACAAACTCAGTTATATATATGTGTATATATGCTGCCCATCTTCGTATTCATGCGGTAGTGTTTATAACGCAATGTGTCGATGTAAACTGAAGTCAGAATGAAAGCTACTATACGCTTAGCTAAACTGAGCATGCGCGTTTCAGCGTGCTGCCACTGAACACAAACACATTTTGATAGAGGAGGCGTTATATTAATATACACTGGAAGGAATGGAAATTAGTATTGTTTTCGGTAGTCATAGCGTTCAGAATTTTTTGGGGTCAGTAAGATTATTTCTAAATAAAATAATTTTTATACTAATGCAATGACGCATTGAATGTATCAAATACGACAGTAAGGACATTTGCAATGTTAAAAATTTTATTCTTTTGAACTTTCTATTCATCAAAGAACCCTGAAAACTGCTTTCAACACTGATAATATTAAAAAATGTTTCTTGAGCAGCAAATCAGCATATTAGAATGATTTCTGAAGAATCATGTGACTGAAGACTATAGTGGCTGCTGCTGAAAATCAACAGTGCTATCATAGGAACAAATTACGTTTGAAAATATAGTAAAATAAAAAAGTTTTACAGAAAGTCAGCTTTCTGTACTGACATTGATCATTCACACTGAAAAAGACATGACCACTCCAAATATTTTAATGAAATTCGTTAAACGTTGAGAAATCTTTACATGGCAGACAGACTTGCTCATAGTAGTGTTCATCTAAATATCATTATCACGTATAAATCCTCATAAATCCCAAAACAAAAATAAATCTCTATAGAACACAATAAAACTTGCCTTCACATGTACCATGGTATCCAGTAGCAGGAGCAAAACAAGCACTTGCCCAGAAGACACCTGTATTTCAAATATTTATGACAAACACAATAAATGAGAGGATAAATCTGAGTGATGCATCATATTAAGGTACTTTATTAAACAACTAAACTGAATCAAAGTGATTAATTGGCAACAAGTCAGAAATCAATTTTTCACATAAATATTTTCTTTATTGAACAGAAACAAGAAGTTAGAGATGGACGCATCCTCAGCTGAGCGATTTCACTGGTCATTCTCATAGTCTGCATGGTTCTTTCTTTTGGTCTGTTCATGAACATGATTTCCCCATGTGTAGGTCAGGTACATCAGAACCATGGCTGTAAACAGAGATACAGGTTTATAGAGAAGTTTAGTCACACACAATGTTCGCTTCAATTTATAGCTACCACTATAGATGATATATTTAAAAAATAATTAATTTTGGACAAAGATGACTTACGTGGTGCAACCTTGAATACAGATGTTTTGAATCGTCTCCAAACATTTGGGATTCCCTTAGAAAAGTAGTTTGGGAAAGCCCTCTGCTCAAAGGGAGAAATACTGTAGGTGATCACATGCCTTATCTTGGCCAAATCTCCGAAGTGACGACCCATTGTGCCAAAAAAGCTGATCTAAGAGAAATTAAATTCAAGGTTCACTTTAGTAATGTTTAAAATAAAATAAGCATACACTTCCTAGACAGCAGTAACATTTCACTGTCTATAATTGAATCAATAAATTTAAAGAAATTCTACATTTGAACAATGTTAAAAACAGCTGTATAAGCTCACAGGAATAAATTACTTTTTTTTATTATACATTATAAATACATTAAAAATATTTATTTATTTTATTTAAATAAGTTTAAATAAGTTTAATTTTCCTATTCAATATTAATTAAAAAATAATAATAATTTGTATTGTTGAATTTCCTATTGTATCCATTCAATAATAAAATCAATTAATTTGAATATATTGTAAATTTGAACAACGTATAAACAGCTGCTGTACATGAACAAAATCAGGCTTAGAATACAATACTGTAAAATATATCAAATGTTACATATTAAAAACGTTCATACAATTTACTACGTGGGAATTGTATAAACTAATATAACGGAACTGATCAATTCAATATTACTTTGATAAACACGACTCAAACGCAACCGGTGGCATAAACTGTTTAGACTAGTCTTAAAAACTTAGTCATCTAATTTTTTTTCTTCAAGACTGGTCATAATTTTTTTTAATTCAGTTATGAAAAGGCAGATTGGTCTTATTTGCATTGGAAAAGTAAGACTGATTACCCCTTGGCAACTGCTAGTTGGTCAAACTAGTGTCTTAAGACACAGTCTTAACATGGTGGCTAAGTTTATGCAACTGACCACTGTACATGATCTAGCAAAGATTAAAGATATGAATGAATAAAATATCTACCATTTCTTAGCATAGAGTGCAGACAAAACTCATTTATACATTTATAAGTAGCTTTACGTGGCTAGGCTAGCAGCTTTCTGTAAAACCTTGCTTGACATTCATCTCTATCGCACTGTCTCTGTTTATACATACATGCAATTGCTACATTTAAATTAAGACATTGTCGCAATTTTTACCTCACCGAAATAAAAACACAAGACAAGGAAAGGAAAGCTTTTTCTGCTCACCAACCTCACTGCTCTTTGACACCCTTGTCGTGCTATGGATTCTACAACTTCCGCCTGCAACCTTAAGTCACATCCGTTTCCGCGTGATTTCTCGCTTTCTCATTGGCGCTCCGTTCTACTGTTTCCTGGCTATCGAGACACGTGAAGGTCAGCATAGCGCTCGAACAGTGTACACAGTTGTTAAATATCACCATTAAGCGATTATTTGCCATTGTTTTCCCCAATGGATAATCAAGGAGTCACGGCAGACCCTCAACTGCAGCAGTTTATCGAGATCGAGTCTCAGAAGCAGAGGTTTCAGCAGCTGGTTCATCAGATGACAGAAGTGTGCTGGGTGAGTGAGTGTGTGTGTGTCCTACTGGGCTGCATAATGCATTACTTCATGAGGATGTATAAGACAATGAAAGAAAATCACTTTAGTTGTTCGCAAGTTTATATGATCTATAGATGTTTTTATGTAGTTTAAGTATTAAGTAAAATGTTCTGTCCTCTTTTTTCGCGCAGCTTGTGACTCTTTAGTATATAAAACAGTTAAAACATATTTTCATATTTTATTTTTGTATATTATTGATTTGTTAAAATAGCTATTTATCTTGATTATACACGCACACATACAAAATACAATTCAAAGGGTTGGGATAAATAAAATTCACAGCTCTCCGAGGCTGAATTTATTTGATCAAAAACTTATTTGTAAAAATGTGATTTATTTCTTTGTTGGCAAAGTTTGTTGTCAGCAGCCATTACTCCCATCTTCAGTATCACATCAGCATACGCTGATTTACTGCTGGAGAAACATTTCTTTGTTGAAAGCAGTTGTGCCTCTTAATAGCTTGTGTGTGTGTGTGGAAACTGATTTTATTAGGATTATTTGAAGTTCATAAGAACAGCATTTATTTGAAATAGAGTAACATTATAAGTCTTTACCGCCTTGCAGAATAAAAGTATTTATTTACGGAAAATAAAACTTACTGACCTCAATCTTTTAAACAGTAGTGTATTTATAGTTATATTAATTACTTGTTAAAAGAGCTGAATATCAGTTATGGCCTTCTTTGCAGCTCATAGTGTGTTTTTCTTTGCAGGAGAAGTGCATGGATAAGCCTGGCCCGAAGCTCGACTCCAGGACAGAGGTGTGTTTTGTAAACTGTGTGGAACGATTTATCGATACAAGTCAGTTCATTCTCAACAGACTAGAACAAACTCAGAGGAGTAGAGGAACCTTTTCTGAAACCATGACAGACTAGTAGAACCACAGCCAATGACAAGATCGCATCATTCAGCCACTTACTGAGGCTTTGGCAGGCCAACGTGAGAACTGTGAGGCAACAGCTATCAACAGGATTCAATTCATTTCTCAAAGACAAAGTGCCTCATTTTGCTCTGTTTATTATTGTAAAGGCCATATATTCAAAATCAAATGGATGCATGTCCCAGTCCCATAGCCTGTTTATAGTCACTGTCGATATTGACTTTTCCCAGTGCTAAGACTTTGGTATGAAATCAAGGAAACATCATGGAACATCAACTGAAAGGTGCCTTTGTACGGATCTGATCTGGAATTTAGGAGGAGGCTCTGCTTTCGCTTTCTCTTCAACTTAAATACCAAGTCTGCACTCCATTGTCTTACTGGGAACGCTTCAAGATTCAGTGTGTGTTGAAATGTGGACTTGAAATAAAAAGATAAAATACCTCCTGCAGTTTTTCATATGATGTATAAAAATAAGAAAGCAGAGGTAAAGTTAAATACTATTAGACATCTCAGAGGTTTCAGTGTCCTATTTATAAAAACAGATTACCGGGCACTTCATAATATATATAATAAAAATCAATGCACCACCTTCTTACTGGGAACGCTTCAAGATCTGTGGCTTATTCAGTGTGTGTTGAAATGTGGACTTGAAATAAAAAGATAAAATACCTCCTGCAGGTTTCAGTGGTTTCAGTGTCCTATTTATAAAAACAGATTACCGGGCACTTCATAATATATATAATAAAAATCAATGCACCACCTGAGAAATGTAGCTGTTGATTAAAAAAAAAAAAAGTTTTCTAAATATGAAGATGTGTGTTCCCTAACACTAGTACAAGACATTAACACAACTGTTGAAAAGTTTGGGGTCAGGAAGATTTTTTTGAAGGTTACTTTTATATAGCAAGGATGCATTCAATTGATCAAAAGTGACAAAAGATTTAGGTTTCAAATAAATGCTGTTCCTTTGAACTTTAATTTATTAAAGAATCCTGAAAAATGTATCACTGTTTTCACACAAATATTAAGTAGCACAACTGTTTTCATGATAATAAGAAATGTTTCTTGAGCAGCAAATCAGCATATTAGAATTATTACTGAAGGATCATGTAACACTGAAGATTGGAGTAATGGCTGTTGAAAATCACCTCTGCCATCACAGGAATAAATTGCATTTAAAATATATTAAAATAGAATACAGTTATTCGAATGTGTAATAATATTTCACAATATTACAATTTTGACAGTATTTTTGATCAAATATAAAGACAGATTTGGACAGTATAAAATAATTATTTCAAAATATAAAAAAAAAAACTTATGACCCCAAACTAATAAGTAGTAGTGTATAGGTATTCTAGTAAAGCACATTGTATTAAACAAAATCATGCTTTTATTGAAAGGATGAGGCATTAAAAAGGTGCTTGATATGAATATAATTCGATGTATATCCTAAACAAGGCTGGTTTGATCATAAAATAAATAATGTAACATTTAATAAGATGTTGTACAGCAGATTTTTTAACACTGTTGCTACTTCAGGATTTTTGTATTTAAAACAAATGACTAGGCACATCGTTAAAATCGCAAGATGGAAATAGAAATATTATAGACAGAAAATATGTAAGACAAGTACCTTGTATACTAAAAAAAAAAAAGCTAATTAAAGGACCCTCACAGTATTAATGGTTTGCAATGTATGCCTGTACAGTAGCATACATCTGTGTTTTAGTAGTCACTCACGTAAGCATTAAGCATTTTTGCTGATATTATGCTAAGTAATAAATGTACCATTGCTCCTTTTGTCTGAACTCTCAGGAAAAAAGCTCTTTGCATTTCTTTCTTTAGTCAGATTGCTTTTATCGATCATAGTAGTTCTCTCATCGGTTGGCAAAGCAATGTATGGTTGGTCTTGAGGGCCAAGATGCAGATATAAAGGTAGAGAGTCCAGCTTAAAGTTGATATCCTTGAACGCATGGAGAAGAAAAATGCCAACGATGATGGTAAGAAAGCCACTGACAGTCCCAGCAGCCCCGTCGGCAGACATTTGAAGCCACTCTTTAAACAAGATGGCTGAACAAGCCATGACGGATGTGGTGAAGAAGACATAATAAATAGGTGTAACTATAGAAGTGTTGAAGATGTCAAGGGCTTTATTAAGGTAGCTTATCTGGATACTGATGCAGATCACAAGACATATGAGAAGGGCCCAGAACAGCGGCTCTTTCAGAACGGCCGTTCCAGCGAACAGCTCTTTGATCCCAATGCCAAGGCCTTTCACACACGACACAGACAACGAACCAATCACAGAGCAGATGAGGATGTACACCAGCACATTCTTCTGACCGTAGCGAGGTGCGACAAAGAAGATCAAGGCCAGGCTGCTGACGACAATGCAGACAGCAAAAGTGATGAATCCTGTGATACATGCAAGAGAGACGACTATAAAGAAAAACAGCTCCGAGCTCACAGTATGCCTACTGTGTTTGTAAATTAGGTAGAAGAATACCTGGATTTTTCAGTTTCTCTGCCATTGCAGCCAAAGAAGCAACCTCTTCCTCTTGCGGAGCATGGAGCACCATAACAGTAGAACCGAAGATGCACAGCAAACAGCCAATTTTCCCGTGGATATTCAGCCGCTCACTCAGGAAGTATGATGAAAGCACAGCACTAATGACAAAAATAACATTTTAGACAAAGAATTTATTTATTTGATCAAAAGTGACGGTAAAGACATTTATAACGTTACAAAAGATTTCTATTTCAAATAAATGCTGTTATTTTTAACTTTCTACTTAAATCCTGAAAAATATGACATTTTCCACAAAACTATCACACTTCAACATTGATAATAATAAGACATATTTCTTGAGCAGCAAATCATATCTGAATGATTTCTAAAGGATCATGCGACATTGAGACTGGAGTAATGGCTGTTGAAAATTTAGCTTTTCCATCAAAGGAATAAATTACATTTAAAAAAATATTAAAATAGAAAACAGTCATTTTGAATTGTAATAATATTTGTGACCCTGAACCACAAAACCAGTCATAAGTAGCAACAGCCAACAATACATTGTATAGGTCAAAATTTTTCTTTTATGCCAAAAATCATTAGGATATTAAGTAAAGATCATGTTCCATGAAGATATTTTGTAAATTTCCTACCATAAATAATATATCAAAACGTAATTTTTTATTAGTAATGATATGCATTGCTAAGAACTTCATTTGGACAACTTTAAAGGCGATTTTCTCAATATTTTGTTTTTTTTGCACCCTCAGATTCCAGATTTTCAAATAGTTGTATCTCGGCCAAATATTGTCACATCCTAACAAACCATACATCAATATAAATCTCAATTTAAAAAAATTGGCCATTATGACTGGTTCTGTGATCCATGGTCACATTTCACAATTTTACTGTATTTTTGATCAAATAAGAAACACCAAACTTGTAAGTGTACCTGACCAAAACGCTCAATGCTCCCAGAGGTGTTACTAATGTGGCAGGAGCAAATGCATAAGCTGCGAAATTTGCTGCTTCACCTATTCCCACTAAAAATAAAACACACGACAAGACAAAAGATTGTGATTAGAGTGTCCACACTGACATCTATATGTGTGAATGGCAAAAATGTATTAATGTAAACATGCACATTTGATTAATGTCGATATTCTGGTTATGCCTTGTAATTCAGCCCTGCTAATGTCATGACAAATAAATACATAAAATGATAATGTCATACTTGTTATAAGCCCAGCCCACCACAACCATTCTTTCAGGTATGCATATCCACCTTGACCTGAATAATGAAGAGAACAGACCTGATTAGACAGCACAAGAAAATTTCAGTGGCAATGACAAAGGCATAAAAAAAAATCAATGCAATTCAAATACTGCCTAATAATATATTGTGCAATGATAGGTTACTCTGCAAATTTTATTGACCCACCTGCTCTAGTAGAGCCCTTTTTGGCCAGTCGTAGGAGGCCTTTCTTTTTCAATATAAAGCTGCCACCGATGAAGATAGTCGAGCTTACAGCAAGTGCCAAACCAATGTAGAAGTCAGAGCGGTTTGCAGCATCCATCTGAAAACAGTTAGAAGTTCATTAGACAATAAAGTTCCAGAAGTGGTTATGTCTAAGAACCTAGTAAGCTACCTTACCTAGACGGCATTTTGGGGCATCGTAAGCACAGCTGCGTAAGCTTACAATGCCCCAACATGATGTCTATGTAGGCAGCACAACATGATTTACAGCCACAGACTAGAAAAGGAAGCGAGTCATATCATGTGATTCACGCCTGCTTTTCACATCGCCAGTTCTTAAAAACAATAAAACATCATATTTTACTGTATACTGTTTGTCTATCTGCCCTATGCGTTTATGACTACAGACAATGCACCATCACAGCATTTCCAAACAAGGAAAGCTACTTTTTTTTTAGAATGATGTAGGTAGATTTTGATTGTCTCACTAACCTTTTATGTATTTTGTGCTAGCAGGTAGCGATGTTTCATGTTTCGACACTTAGTTATATTAACATTTAAGACTACACTTGAAACACTATAGAAATATGAATAATTGTTAAATTGACTAACCTTGCATTCGAATCTTCCATCGGTGGCGTTTTAGTCTCGTGTGAATAAACTTCCTGGTGAAGTGACTGTAACGCGGGTTGCCAGATACTCTTGATTAACTTCAAATATTGTCAGTCTGGACATTTTGGGGGGATTTATCTGAACTGAATTTGGTGAAATTGTATAAACTGTCATTTTGTGTCAGATGTCTTCTTTCGAAACCCCTCAGGTACGTAAACATTAATATCGAGTGTTTCATCAAGTGTTCCACTGTAAAATCTGCAGTTTGTATTTTGATGATAAAATATAAATAAATACATTTGTGTACCATGGAAGTATGTGTCAAGGTTAGTTTGGACCAGGCCAGGAGACCTTTTTAGACTTTTAAAAAAAGAGACCAACCTTAAGTATGTGCTCCAAAGCATTCACAATTTATAACAATTTAAGTTGCAAATGTCATTTTCAGGTCTATGCTCAAAAAGTGGAACCGACAGATAACAGGTTAAAATAGATACCTTTTAATCCAAATTATGCTTGTTCAAGTAGAACCGGCACTTAAAAGAACCGGCACTGTTCTTCAAACAAGTGTTTATTGACATTAATGGTGACAAATACATAATTTCAAATAGCATTAAAAGAGTGACAAAAATCAGTGGCGGCAGAGGAATATTGGACACTGCTCTCATTTTATTCAATACACAGCCAAATGAAAAAGACAAAGTGTAGTCTTTAATTAAATAGCCATCAGATTTCAACCACAGAAGACAAGGTGAAAAACAAATATTTACACATCAAGGCTGGAAAATTTCTTCTAGATCGTACTTTGTTTTACTAAAGTTTACTTATTTCTATAATTTTTTTTTGTATATAAATACACAGCCAAATCAATAAAAATCAATACACAGACATTATTTATGTACATGTACATTACAGTCATGAATTTTTATTTGTATTGTTGTTGCTGCTGCTGGTTATTAATAATTAAAAAAATATTAAAG